CGTACGTATGTGTGTACTTGTCATTTTTGCTAGTAAACAAACTGAAATTGTCATAACATAATTATAAGTTGTCACTAGCCACTTGGCTAGTAAGTTGAAAAGTTAGAGTTGAGCCCTGGAATGTTATCTTTTAATTTGAACATGAGGACAACTAGTAATAAAAGTACAAGGACTGTCAAACCTGTGTGTGTCATAAGCAAACTGCAGCTGCTTCTCAACAAGTGATGTCTTAGAACTCTGTAAAGTTAGTATACAAGCATGTTAGTATCCTAATGATGACAAAGTTGCAAACAAATAAATAAATATTATGGTATTGGTGGCTACCAATAGTCCCCTTTCCAACCACTGTTTGGTTGGGTCACACAGTGGCTGAAAAGGAGAAAAGTTAGGCACATGTAGCTTGAGCACATATATTTTTGAGATTTGAACTTTCCATTTGAGGAGAATAATTATGTCTTCTTCTGAAAACTCTTACATTGATCAGTCCATTTAGGGCTCGACACTAACTTTTCAACTTGCTAGCTATAGCCAAGTAACATCCTAGGTGTTTTTAGATGTTACGACAATTTCAGTCTGTTTACTAGCCAAACTGGCTAGTGGAAATTTAAAACCACTAGCCAAAACTGAATTTGGACTAGTCTGTGGCTAGTGGGCTACTGTTAGTGTCAAGCCCTGCCATTGGAAAGCCCTTGGTTTTAGTAATATTTTAAACTGATGTTACAGAAAATGGATCTGTAACAAGCCCTATGCAAAAGAGCTTTACATTGATGGCTGCTATCTGTCTCTCTGGGCATCTGATTAGCATCCTCTTGTTTTCAAGAGTACAACTAATCTGATGCCAGTTAAGAATGAAAGGATTCCTAACCTGAGGTATTAAAGCTTTATTACTGAAGAGTACAACATAGAAAGCTGGTGTTGATACTCGCATATTTGATGGTGGTTTGCCAAGCCAGTTGTTTTTCACAGGTCTAACAATGCTAAATGAAGAGCAGAGAGGAAAGTGAGAAAAAAAAATTTTCATCCCTGAGGTGACTTAACAGCAACAACATAAATTACATATTCTTCTTTTTACAAAAATGCAATGTTTTTCTTCTACCATGTACAGGGTTGTAGCAAAGAAATTACGCTGCTGGCTGAAATTTCAAGTGAAGTGGCTCAAAGATGGTCAACCATTGTAAGTGTGTAAAATCAAAGTGCCTGTTGTGTTGTACCAAGCGATCACAGCTAAAAATCAAGCTGGCAATCACCACTTTTTCCACTGGTGAATTTTGCCAGCAGCTGGTGCTTAGCCACAATCTTTGCATGCAGACTGTCGTTCTGTTGTCAGTGTACTGTTGACTTGTGCAAGCCTTAATCAATTAATAAACACAATATTTTAGAATAAAGTGACAGGCTTTGCATGCATCTAGAGAAATTTTCTGCAATTACCTGTGATCAGGAAGACCCAGTGCTGTTACGGTGGCATGAATTGTCGTGTCGATGACAGCAAAGTGATAGTAGTCAAACAAGATAGGCACATGGTGATGCAGACCTTTCACTCAGGACATGTGCAGTTTTAACGTTTGTGTGCTTACGTTTGTGAGAGATTCAACTGAGTCAACTCTGTGTGATGAGAAAACACAGATGATAAGAACTATGCCTTGACTGGAGAAAGCAAAACATGAGAAACGTGTCCTCTTGGGATTGAATTAAAATCTCCAGTTTACTCAAGTCCCCAGAGTCTATAAGCAGTCCTTAATAAGGTCTGTTATGTAAGTCAAACAAAAAAAATATGTGCAATAAAATTGATGTTTGCCTGGTGCACTTACATCAATTTTTTTCTCACTGATTTTTTTAACTCCCATGACAGACTTTGCCAAAAAGGAGGGACTGCTCATAGTCTACTATATTTTCCTTCAAGTTGTTCAGAGAGAGGACACAACTGATCAAGTTGCTACAGAACTGATGAATTAGTGACAAGCAAAGCTGGAGCAAAGAGCATGAATATGTTATGTGGAAAATCTCACACTAGGAAAAGTACCGGTATGTCATTGACAAAATCAAAACATTTCAAACTCTCAAACAAGGAATGGTACATGTATGTTCCTGACATAACCGAAACATTTCAAGAATTGCTTTTCTTCCTATTAAGGAATAATAGCAGCAGTCATAAATTTGACATTCAGGAGAAACAGAAAAAATCCTCCTAAATTTTAATACCTTTTTTAGAGTAGATCAAAATACTTAGAATTGTGAACAAACAAAAAAAAAACTGATTTCTGGGATTGAGATAAAGAAAAGACAGCCCTCACAAACATCCATGTCACAGCAAGAAAGTAATTAAAATGAATTTTCCACAGTATTAAATATATGTACTTCAAACCATTATGTGAGTGGGCAAACTTGTTGATGGTGTTTATCTAAGAAACAAATTTCTTACCCATAGTCTGAGTCCGAGAAAAACAGTTCCACCAACATTTGATAATCTGCTTGGTCAACTTCCTGGACAATCTAATATGAACAATTATAATAATAAACAATAATAAGATCATTTTCAATCCAGTATATCTGAATCCATTACACCCTGAAACAGGTATGCATGTATTCTCCTTAACTGTTCTCTATAAATTTCCTAGTGTACTGATATGGAAGATTTGTTTAACAAACAAGAGCTTCTTTAATTGGTTACTAGTGATCATATCCTTTATTCTTAGCTTGTGATCTTAATATTGTAGGGAGAAATTAGATGCCACTAACTCTCAAGGGCAAAAGGGGTTAAGCCATCTCTTCTACATCTGTTTTAAGGATGCTAGCCTTCCTCACTGCATGCAAAGATTGCTAGGATTTGCCAGTCCTGGTAACAGTCACAATCTAAGAGTTCTCGAAGGGTCTTCTTAAGTTTTTGTGTGGCTTACACAAAGTTTGTAGCCACATTATGGCACAATCAGATTTATTTTAAGTAGCCAAGATGTTGTTGGAAAGTAGCTCGGGTTTGTTACTACCACCAGTTACTACTAACACCAGTCAATCTTTTTTATAACTCTCACACCATCTTGAGTTTCTGACACTCAACCATACAGTTTTCAAAACTAATTTGAGAGAGAGTTCAAAAGGACTTTTACCTTATCACTGTTAACCAATAAATGGAGACGAAAAACAAAAGAATCATTTAACACAACAGACTCATTTCTGTAAAGAATTTGAAATGTTCTGGAGATGGCTGTCTGTCCAGAAGAGTCGATTGTTGCTCCAAATTGGTATTCTGCCCCTTGGCTGTCTGTGATGTAAAATGAAAATAATAAGTTGTTATAGTGATGTCATAACTACACCATAACTTCTTATCAACCAAGCACAAGGCCGTACTATATCTTATTAACCAAGCGCGAGGGCTGTACTGGGAGAATATCGGCCTGAGGTNAATAATAATAATAATAATACCACACACTACCCTTATAAGATAGTACAGCCCAATACAAATAATAAAATAATAATAATAATAATAATAATAATACCACACACTACCCTTATAAGATAGTACAGCCCAATACAAATAATAAAATAATAATAATAATAATACCACACACTACCCTTATAAGATAGTACAGCCCAATACAAATAATAAAATAATAATAATAATAATACCACACACTACCCTTATAAGATAGTACAGCCCAATACAAATAATAAAATAATAATAATAATAATACCACACACTACCCTTATAAGATAGTACAGCCCAATACAAATAATAAAATAATAATAATAATAATACCACACACTACCCTTATAAGATAGTACAGCCCAATACAAATAATAAAATAATAATAATAATAATACCACACACTACCCTTATAAGATAGTACAGCCCAATACAAATAATAAAATAATAATAATAATAATACCACACACTACCCTTATAAGATAGTACAGCCCAATACAAATAATAAAATAATAATAATAATAATACCACACACTACCCTTATAAGATAGTACAGCCCAATACAAATAATAAAATAATAATAATAATACCACACACTACCCTTATAAGATAGTACAGCCCAATACAAATAATAAAGTAATAATAATAATACCACACACTACCCTTATAAGATAGTACAGCCCAATACAAATAATAAAATAATAATAATAATAATAATAATACCACACACTACCCTTCTAAGATAGTACAGTCCAATACAAATAATAAAGTAATGTGAAGATGATTGTTTATTATGATATTTTTTTCAGTAACATAGGGATATAAAGGAAAAAGAAATGGAAATTTTTAATTTTGGGAAGCCATCCTATGACATCTTGAATGCTCTTGTATTGAAATTAAGTGGGTTTGATAAAAGTCATGGTCTCAATAAATGGGGTTTTCATGAATTAAGGCCTGATCCAGCCTCTAACTGCTGTCTGTTCAGAATTTAAATCAGAGATTTGTTTGGCTTCTTTTGAGATCACAGCCGGTAATTCCGCCTTCAACTGCTTCTTGCAAAAAAAATTGAAACCAATGCTATGAACCAATATTACTCTATAGGTGTGCCTACTTTTAGGATTTAAATGCCTATCTAGTCCCTGATTTTTTAAGACTTTAGCTGTGACCAATCAACAACTAACCCACCAAAGTCGAGGTGGGTAGTGGTGGATATGTTGTAGTTCAATCTTTTCTTTAGTTTAATTTTTTTAAACTGGTTTAAAAATTTTAAATTGGTTTAGAATTTTCAAACTGGTTTAAAATTTGTAAGCGCACAGCCCATTCTTATTTATTTGATGTTTTACATGAAAAATGTACTCTGTATAAAATAAAGTTGTGTTTTTAAGGTGTCCACATTTTAGCAAATGTTCATTTTGCTGGTTGGAGTTAAGATTAGGGTTAGGGTTAGGGAATGTATTGCAGCAGTGTATTCAAGTAAGAAAACCTTGAATTGTTTGAACAAGTCTAGCTCTTTTTTTTTCTTTAAAAGTACTGAATAATGTTTTTGCAACACATAAATTTTATTACTGAGTCTTAAGTAACAAGCAATACAAAAATGGGAAGGTAGTGAAGTCATTATTTATAATCTTAAATGTTAAATAACAATATTGTCCAGATATGTGGTTCTGTGCAGTTGCGTGGACTGTCTCTGAAATCCATTAGGTCAATCTCAACAAGAGAAAGGAAATGCAGAGACTGAAGGGGTTTTTCTACCATTTTCACACGACTGGTAATAGAGTTTTGTTCAGCATGAAAATGACATGAAGCAACAAACAGGCTGATTACTTTACTGTTGACTTCGCCGTAGTTATTGTTGATCTATTTGCTGGATATCTGTCTTCCTCAGTGATTTATGTGTTTGTGTGCAAGGCTTAAAACCTTATGAAGCTGTCCTTTGGCAATTACTTTCTTTTTGTCTTTCGTTACTAGCGAATCATTTTCATAGGACCAGTTCTTTCGCTTGATTGTGTCCATCTCCCATTTGGTCATTTGTAAATAGGTTTGTTCTCCTGAATCTAGCCCGAGGGACTTTTCGGTTTGCTGTTTTGAATATCTCTTCGCCTTGTCAAAAAAATTGTCGCCGATAAACAAAGTTACTAGCGATTCATTTTTGGTTTGTTGCGCTTTTAAATCATGTAATTTTTGAAGAAAATTTTCTTTTGAGATGCACGAGTTCTCTGCCATTTTTTCTTTCGAAGTCCAAATTTGCATCAAATGTGCATGTGTGTAAGCATACGAATATTTTAATAATAAATTTGGCCGAGCAGAGGAGAGCCTGGGACTAATAAATTATAATAGAGTAGAAAGTGGTGAGAGTTGTCAACGAAATCTAGCGTGGACTAATGGATCAAAGAGACGGCAACAGATTCTGAAAATGTTGGTGCATGGTTCAAGTCCAGGTGAGTTGAAATAATGATAGAGCGCCTAGTCTTAAGTCAGGAATATAAAAGAAAAAAAGATCTGAGGAGTATTAGGGGAGTAGATAAGGAGAGAGTAAGGAATAATATGGTGATGAGAGATAAATGGAGAAATTTCGTTCTTATCTGCAGTCTACTTCTTTTTCAGAATTCCCCCCCTAAAAAGCCAAGCCCCATTTTTCAATCCACACCCCAAAATATAAAGGCCCTTTTTCAGACAGTTGATTGAAAACTGCCTTACAAAAATTAAACTGGTTTGAAAAAATTAAACCAGAAGAAAAATTTGAAGTACAACAGATATTTACCGAGCCGCAAAGTGGCGAGGTAAATATCTACCGCTAACCACCAGCACTGAGGTGATTAGTTGTTTTAGTATATACTAAAACAGTGAGATAATACACGCCACCGTCATTAATTTGAGTGATTTCTTTGCTTGTCATGGATGCAAACCAGGACGCCATTTTTTCCTGAGTTGCTCGGAGGTAAATAGCAAAGGATATTCGGATTTTGACTAGCCAATCAGAGCGCACCTTCAACGCTATCTACTGCAGGGTTTGACACCTGGCTACCTGCACTACTAGTGACCGGGCTAGTGATTTCTAAAATTTACCGGCCCGAAACACAACTTGGTAGCCCAGATCAATTTCCCTCAAGGTCTACTTAAACCCCAAACAAGTAAACCTTCCTCTAAACTTATTGGCAAGGTCTTCTAAAATGATAAAGAATGGCATTTTTTTCTTTAATTGTGATAACATAATGTGCTATTTAAGGAAAAAGTTAAGTAAATTTTCAAGTGCGAGGGGATCGTGCAAGGCGATGTGCAAGGGAATGCAACATTGGTAGGGAGAAGACTGGGAAAGATATTGACCATTAAGAGCAGTCTGGGATCTAGCAATGTTTACGATTGACACTTGAGACAAAAAAAAGATGCCAGAAAATGAAAGGTTTATGCCTTCTTTATTGGCATTATCATTACAATTTAAACCTTCTCATCTTTTAATCAACTGCGAGCAAACTAATTATAAATAATTTCTTTCAATTTTTCTACTAGCCAGCAGGCTATTAAACGTGGATTTTTACTAGCCCAACCAAATTTTTACTAGCCTTGGGCTACCGGGCTAGCAGAGATGTCGAACCCTGCACTGTTTTAGTATATACTAATTCTTGATATCCGTAAAAATGCAGCGGATATCACAGTGACTGTCATTCACAAAAAATGCAAAAATACAGTGCTACCTATTGCAATTAACTCTTACACTTATTGAATTACTTACCTGAAACAGTGTCAAGCCTTTTCTCTACCTCTACACTTGCTGCCGCTTTCACAGGAGGTTTGAGAGTACAACGAACATGGTAATACCTGCCAGTTAAAATATGGTACCTCAATTCATAATCATATAAAATCTTTTCGCACACAGTACTCCAAGCTGCACTGTGCACCATGACAACTTGGAGAAAAAATATGGCACCTGAGTTAAATAATATGTCATTTGTCAATTTAGCAACCCGTGCTTGACACTCTTTAAACAAATTGCTAATAATTTCCACGATCTAATGTCAAAGAGAGATAAAAAAAAAAAAAAAAAAAACAGTACTCCTGTTCCCTTGTCATTTTTATATAAAATTTGCATCTTTCTCCTTGTGTTACAATTTGAAATGTTGCATGAACCTCAATCTCCTAGAATGAATGCCAGCCATACCACTTATAGTCAGCATTAATTTTAGCATGTTATGCAATATTGCACAAAGTTTTTCTCTCTCTCTTTTTTTTTAATGAGGACCATTTTATTATTTCAAGTCACTGTGTGATGCCTTCAAAAAGATGAGCCTGTAGCCTTGTTAGGGCATTTCTAATCTCTTAAATATTTTTGGATCAAACAAGAATAGTCTAGGACACATCAAAAATTTAACACTTAACACAAACTAACAAAATAACAGTTTTGTGAATTGTGCCCTTTGTGACCTTTTAAATCTGTGATTTCTCTTCTAAATTCTGGATTCCTTTCTACCCCACAACGTGCTAATAGCAGATCTCCATTTGAACTTAATATCAGTTCCTATTTTTGCACTCAACAGGGGGTACCATTTCAATATCATTTAAATCTAACCCCACTCTGAACCAAATCATTTTTCAATATTCAATTTATCTGTTTTTCATCCAAACAAAGAAAAAAAAAATGTGTAATAATCGGAAGAAATCAAAGAAAACCGTGGACAGAAACAAAATTAATTATAGTACGTAATGAGGTGGTCTAAATTTAGAAACCATGACGTCTATGATATTGGGCCTCCCTATAATGCTTTTATTTAAATACAAATTATTACAATATAAATTGATAGAGAAATTAACTGTTAGGGAAAATATAACAAAAATTTATTAAGTTTCTTTAAATATATCTCAGGTATATCTTTAAAGAATGCAAAGAACTTGAATAAAACTCAGTTAGAATTTTAACAGGAAAAAGAATTCCCAACAAAAATAGGACGGTGTCTCTACAAATATAAGAGAACTTGTAATAGAGTACGTGTAAATGCTTCTTTTGGAGAATGTAATTAGATTACTTCGTCTAGAGCTGACGCCTGGAGGGAGTATGTTTCTTTTTTTTTTATGACAAAAGATCAAAATGATGAGCAAAGTAACTGACAGTGGCAGTGTAGCTTCCCTTAACAAATCTCAAATTTCTGAGTAGGGTGTTAAGATCAATAGGTTTCTCACATCTATGAATTTCCACTCATTACATTCTGATCCTATAATAAATAGATTTAGATGTCAAACAAGAAAATCCTCACTAGAAAAAAAAAATCACGCGATCAAGGTCACTGACTCAATTTTTGCTTTTATTATTACAATTTGAAGTGGTACATTTCTTTCTAATCCCTGGAGTAATCAAGGAAATACAGATACCATAAAAATTTAATTAATTGGCCACACACTTTCTGCATAAAAAATGATTTCAAGTGTTACATACCCTCGCTGAAACAGATCAATGTTGTGAAACGTGGAAAATTCGACGGCAAATTCTATCGTTGCTTGTAAATCCCCGGACATCGTGGGATCTTCAACAGAGTAACAACTTCAAGTGGTAATTCTTTTTATCAAGGCAGCGTCCTACATCGTTGTTGATATTCTAATCTTCTTCACAACTTTACGCCTTGAGATTGCTGAAAGAGATTGACACTAATGACAAGTTACCAATATATTCAATTCGATTCCTTGACCGGCATGGACTGAATAATACGCGCGCTTTCATGCGCGACACGAACCTGGTCAACTTCAAAAGTCAGCGTTGTTAAACTCAAGACTTTAAAATCGGCATTACCCTCAAGTATTCTATGGGTTGTGGTTTAGGGGTGCTTGAAGCAATCTTTCACCAATTTGAGAAGCTAGGGAACACGTCATAATAATTAGGCATTTTCGATCCGTGGAAAAACACGAAACGTTGTAGTTACTCCCATTAAAATAACAACTTCAATGTCAAAGACGAAAGTACTCAAAATAAGATAACGAAAAGTCGTCTCTCAATTCCATTTGACTGTAAATATGACCAACCCTCTTAAGAGCTATGATCTTTACGATGCCAATTAACCCATGCACGAATATTTATCCTTTTATGTCAACTTGACCATTCATAATTTACTAAAAATGTCAATCGCTCTCGAATAAAACAACCGTGCATTAATAATGCAAAGAGCACATGATACGTATTTATTGGAAGTTGTTAAGAGGACTTCCAAGTCTCTTAGAGAAAAACACAAACCTGTCATACATCGACCCTCCGGCCGCCATCTTGTTTGTCGTCGAGCGTGTGGCAAGAGTACTTCTCGTCCAAGTAATTCCGGAGAGTCTGGGTACCAGAGATTTGTTTCCAAGGAGACGAATAACTGTTTTCTAGTCACGTGACAAGTGCTTTGATAAATGCCCAAAAATTTCTGGACAGATAGTAAAGTTACAAGTATTATTTCAGAATGGGAAAGATCACCTTAGAAATGCTGGCGAAATCTCCAAGCCATACAAAGAAGAGAAGAGATGAAACTGTGCAACAATATGTGCGGAGGTTGACTCACTTGTATTTCTCAGAGAAAAACATTGATGAAATTGTAAGTAATGATCGATTAGCAAAGCGTAGATTACTGAGCGTAGATGGCGTTTTCCACAGATATCCTTGTCATTTAGCCGTCGTGTTTCATGTTAATCCAATAACTTATATATTCGACATGAAGCTATGGATAACAAAGCTCTCTCTTGGGTCAGGGAGCTCACAAAGTTCTTAGTTTTCAGATGGTTGTAACTAAAGTTAGCTTACAATCATCGATCAGAAAACTTAGCACGTAGCTACAGGGCCTAGGGTTAGAGATTTTGTAAACGTTTAATAACTTTAATATGTTATAGTAATTGTACATGTGTTGTCTGCAATACTTTGCATACCTTCTGTAGGAGTGAGGAAATTCTTATATGTGATCAGGGTGAATTTACAGCGATTTGTTGCTTGTATTGATATATTGCAGGATAATCTGCATCACTGCCGAAATCTATCAGTTCTCTACCTTTATGACAACAATATCGCGAAGATCAAGAATCTTGGTTTTGCAACCAGCCTAACACATTTATACCTTCAGAAGAATGAGATTACTAAAATAGAGGGACTTGACAATCTCAGGAGATTATCAAAGTTGTAAGTATCTTTGTGTTAATTCACCTTGGGACGTTTAAACTTTTTTTTTTTAACTAAGAGGTACACAGTACTGCTCAAGAAAGGTTGATGGTCCCTTGAAACTCTATCCTCGATCTTTGATCCTCGATTGAGCATCAAGCCATGTGTTAAAGTTAAAGAAACTTGGCTCATCCTCGGTGTAAAAACCTGTGAAGCTCACGAGTGACGTAAAACAAAGACAATAAAACATTATAAACAATAGCATAGTACAGCAAAACAATACCTCATGAAACAAAGAAAACCTCATCAGGTTTTTACACCGAGGATGACCCAGAAACTTTATGACCAAGGTATGGCTGGCCTGAGCTTTGGTGCATGGGATGTTGACGAACAAGGTTATGTCCTGATTCATTCTTGCTCACTGTATGCAAAAAATGAAGCATGCTTCAATCAAGGCATGCTCAAGGACGATGGCAGAATTTTCGTGTATGGAGTCCTTCAAATTCTTTAGTATCATACTGGCATTGAGGGGCATACATGGTTGTTTTTCATTCCTAAACTTTTCACTCTGCCCTGTTCTATTTCTGTCTTATGTTTCCTAGTTCCACTCTTTTACCTTCTATCAAAATTCTATTCTGGTCACTCCAGAAGGTAAAAGGGTCAGAATTCATTCACTTTTCCTTTCATTAAGGGGGCATAACTATTCCTTATGACCCCCCCCCCCCCTTGAAGTCAAGCAATATCACCCCAAAAGAGGGAAATGGTCAGTACAAGTTATACAATCAAAAGTGCAACACCCTTGTTTCAGATAGTTTTCCTTTGTAACTAATGACAAGTGATTTTATCAATTTAACTTTTTCACCTGTAGATATCTTGGGTCTAATTCTATCACTGTTGTGGAAGGGTTGGAGAAATTGGAGAGTCTGCGAGAGCTTCACATTGAGAAACAGAATCTACCTCGTGGTGAAAAACTTCTCTTTGAGCCAAGATCACTTGAAGCTCTTTCTGTGAGTTCAAAATTTATTTTTAACAGTTAAATGTCTCAGTTATCTATCACTGCCAGTAATTGGTTTGAAACCAGTTGTGAACAGGAGATTGTGTGTAATCATGTTTATATATTGAAACTAGAAATAATGCCAGCTAGCTGTATTATAATAATTACTTTTCTTTCTGGTAGAAATCACTCTGTGTGCTGAACATATCTGAAAACAACATGGACTCCGTTGAGGAGCTGAGATGTCTCAAGAACATGACACAGTTTTTCACAGAAAACAACTGCCTCTCAGATATGAAGGTACAAAACTTAAATAAAAGTTTTTCCATGTAAAATTTTCTCCTTGTATCAGCAAGAAAGTTTAATCCTTCATCCAGGAGGTACTGTTAGTTCCCATGTGGGGAACATTTTGCAATTAGCACTTCCCTTTTGAATACCAGCCAATCACAGCTGAACATATTGTTTCATAAATATAAGATAGCAAGTACCCAGTTGACCTAACTGCATAATTGAAGAAGAATTGCAGTATGCATTCAAATGGTACAATCCACATTGGAAAGAATGCATGGCTAGCATCCAATTTCTTCTTGCAATTTCACCCCTGAATCACACATAAAGGTCACAAGAATAAAGGAAATGATCACCAACTAAAGAAGCTCATCACTAACTACAAAGAAACTTTTGATTGTTAAATAAATTCTCCTTGTCAGCACCTTAGGAAATGTATAGAGAACAGTATGGAGAATATGCATACTGATGTCAGGGGGTAAAGGGTTAAATTAAAAGTCACATAGTGTATTCACCAGAATGAGTGATTACAACTTTTAACATAATATCGTTTATCCATTACGTCTTTAAGATGGCTCAGGAATTTAAGAAATATATTGACCAGGCTCCAGTTGTTCAAAGGACAGATAACTCTATCCAACGGATAAATCGCTATCCAGCGGATAAGTGTTAACAAAACGTACTGCGCTCTCCACAGGATAGAGATTTATCCAGTCCATAGCGTTATCCATCCTTCGAACAACTGGGGCCTGATGTTGAATTTGTGCATTTTATTCTGTGAACTCTCTGTTGTAGAGAATCTTTTTCCAACATATTTAATTAATAAACTTTAAATGATTTGTTCATAAAGGAGTTTTCAAGAGTCTTGGTATCCTGGCCATCATTGTGGAGGTTAGAACTGACTGGGAATCCTATTTGTAACAAGAAAAAATACAGGGACAGAGTCATTGTCATGTCCAGATCATTAGGTAAGTAAAGGAGCAGGGGAATTACCATTATACAAGAAGTATGATTTGTAGTCTTGTCACCTGTACCATTTGTCTGTAATGTCATTCTAACAAAGGAGCAGGGGAATTTCCATACAAGAAATATGATTTGTAGTCTTGCCACCTGTACCATTTGTCTGTAATGTCATTCTAACAAAAGAGCAGGGCAATTTCCATACAAGAAGTATGATTTGTAGTCTTGTCACCTGTACCATTTGTCTGTATGATGTCATTCTAACATAAATAAGTTATGCACAATCATAGCCAATGCATAAGTGTAACATTAATGCTAAGGGTTTCAGCTCAGATATTAATTAATTGGGCTGGGGGCTGAAATTTCAAGTGAGGTAGATAGCATTTTTTGGAAGTGCATAACGTTAGAAGTGCCAGACTGGGCTTTACTAAGTGATTAATGGTCAAAATTCAGACAGCAAGGGGGGCCACTCTTTAATTCATCCAGCAAATTTCATTAGTAGCTGGTACTTAGCAACAACCCTGAATATTGATGATGGAATGGAGAGAAATTTAACTTAAAAATAATTCATTCTTGAATTGTACATCCTCAGTGTTCGTAACCATTTTTTAATAATAGTTACTAAATCTTGTTTTAATTTGCAGTTATGCTTGATGGCAAGGAAATCAATGAAACTGCCAAACGATTTTTGATGAACTGGAAAGCCAGCAGGGATGCAAGAAGGAGACAAAGAAAACAACTACATTTCCTCGAAGGCGGAGCATCAAATCTCACATCAGATTCATCAAATGTATTGTCTAATATACCCTCTCTTCCACCCATTCTGGGGCTACCAAGTGCTGATGAAGGATATATGATAAACCCTGGGGTTAATCCATTTCTTTATGAAGGAGTTGTGGCTGGTGGACCCCAGTCTCTAGCACTTCCCAGGGGCACAAAACCATTTGCAGCCATAATGCAAGCGAGAGCTCCAAACTCAACTCTTCTAAACAGGAAACCTGTAGAAGATGTGTCACAATCAAGGTATGGATAATCTCAAATATTGTAGGAGTAATCAATTGAAAGTTACAGCTGTAGAGATACTTTTTTATCGGAAGAAATCCCAACTGAGGTACCAAATAATTTGAGACAAATGTGTGCAAGAATCCTGGACTTTTTCGCTTTTTAGCAAGTCTTTTTGTTTTGCAAATTCAGTACGGAAAAGCGAGGCAACTTTCGTCAGGGTTACAGCTTTTATTTAGTGAAACCCCTATTTTCTTCCTCCCTTGATTTGTTAACCTGATCTTGTCAAGATATATTTGTGTTAGTCACTCAAGACAAACTTTTTTTTTCACTAATTTGAAGTATTGATGTGGATAGTTTCCATGTTGTGAAGTGACCAATTGGACTCACCCTCAAGTCAGTTTGTGGATAAGATTATACAAATTTTAGAAAGCATATTCACCCTAAATGTCCAAATTTTCAGGTAGAAATAATAATAATAATAAAAAAAAAAACTGAAAGAGGTTTTTTTCTCTCAAAGGTGCAATTTTGGGATCATGATCATTAGTTGACCTTGATACATTTTTATTCAGAGCTCATTAATATGTAATTCCCACACATTTATATATGAAACAAAATCTAATATAGTTTATTAAGTTTATTAATTTCTATGTTTTATTTCAGGTTTCCAAACATCTTTGCACCACCACGCCCTATCATTTCTGAGTCAAACTGGGACACTGACAGTGATGTCCACAGTGGACCACCTGTGTCACTACAGACATAGTAGATTTTGGACAATAAAAATTTCTAAAAAAATTCTTCATCAGTAAAACAAATTTTTTGTATGTTTTGGATAAAAAAAAACCCAATGTTATTGATACCAAAATGTCTAAGCAATAAAGTGAGCACTTGAATATAAATCTTCAAAATTTTTTTTTTATTCAATTGGTAAATATAATTCTAAATTGTGTTTTTCAATTCAGGAAAGGTTTACAAGTATATCTAATTGTGTGATTCATTACTACTAAATTATATCCTAGATTATTGCTGGTGAACTTGAGCTATAGATATTCAAGACTGTTGCAGCCCCCTGTAAATTGTAAATTAGTCTGTATATACATTGTTAAATGTACATGTTAATAATTATGACAGAATGTATTTATTAACTATACCTAGTGCCAAAAAAGCACAAGACTGAGTTCGTCTAGAGTCAAAAAGACACCAATTTTGATACATCGAAAAAAAATTATTTCAAGGGTTTTTACCACTTCTCACTTGATGATTGAGATATGTATTTTCTAGCTTTATCACACATTACAGGATAAATGTAATGTGTGACTGAAAACTAAATATGTTTCTTTTTTTTAAGTTTGTTCCATGTTATTTTAGCTTGGCAATAGAAGGTATTTTTCTTCACTTGATGGGGTACCTCATTTTTTAGTACAATTTCAAAATGCTATAAAAACTTATTCGGCAACAATTCTAGATATGAATTTCTTCTCTCCAAATTTTGTATTTAATTTTATGGGTATGATCACTGAGTTCAATTCACAGTTAGATACAACATAAAATTCTTTTATAAAATGAAAAAAAAAAATGAAAGAAAACTTGCAAGGTCTATGTTGGGACAGATTAAGAGTTTGAAAAGAAATAAAGTTGTACAAGTGATGATCTTCTTTTTCTCCCACCTTTTATACTTAGTTTTATATTCCAGCTCACCATAGGCTTACAGTTTTGGCAGGCAATGAAAAACTGCAGTGCATGAAAGAGAACTGGGGCATATAGGAATTGCAGATAAAAAAAAATGAGAATTTACAATTGCACCGGTTCCTCCCATATATCCTGAGCCCAACCTCTCCTGTGCTCCAAGCTCAACTTTTTGTCCAAGTTGCCATATGGTGACCCATTGTCAGAAGACATACTAAACCCATGGATGCAATACTTCTCTTTGGAGTAAAGCTATATTTACTTATGAAAGACTTTTTAACTTTCAACCTCACAGCTGAATACAGCTAACCAGATTAGTGACTTCTGCTGCAAATTAGTCACCACCACTACCAAAATGGTCACAGCCAGGAACACTGCCATCTGTTAGTTTTTCTAGTACACACACTATTCCCCTTGAACCCACAAGCCAAAAGCCTGAAATGTCAACCATTTCTTTCTTACATCAGCTCTACTCCTAAAATCTTGACACTTTATCCTGTACATTCAGGTTATAATCTAAAAACCTTCTGCCAGCCATTAGCCTCTCACTGGGGACATTGATGCACAGGAAACTTGCTCCATCTTCAGCTTTACTCTGCATTCTTCATCTTATTTAACACTTGTCTCTAATAATGCTGCCACCCCATTCAGTTGACTCCACCGTTGCTGCTTGATTGTGCATTTCGATTTGACCCAAAACGGCACTCAAACTTTTTAACATACACATCACAGTGTTCCCCTGGACCAAGATACAAAGATGAAAAGCCTTAAGCTTAAGTCTGAACAGGTAGAAGTTTTCAACTTTGGAGGTCATATTATTCTTCAATCTCAATGGGTTCAATAGCATACAAATACAGAAATCAGATGTTCATACCTGGAGCAAAGTCAGGGCTTCCACGGAGCCGCACATTACGTTGTTCGAAAAACTTGTATACTGCAAAAGAGAACAAGAGATCACAATCAATTTCTTTAAATTTAGTTAGTGCTTGCAATCATGTTAAGTCAGAATTATCACATTTTATAATCATTTACGCTTAATAGTCTCTATTTGAGAACAAGAAGAGAGTTATTCTTCTCAACCATAACTTTCACAAGACATTTTGGGCAGTAGTCTAAGAGTAGCTACATTTTACAGCACATGACCTACCAGTATAGAAAAGCATGGAGTCCTCAGGATTTGAAGCAGCCTCTAAGAACTTTCGGGGTGATACAGAGTCTTCTGCACCTATGGCACGCACATAGCGCAAGGCAGGCAACAGCTGTGCAAAAAAAAAGAACAATATCTTGACAAATGTTAAAAGTAGAAGAGAAGAATCACCAAGAAAATGACATTCTAGCTTGCCAGCAGCCCCTCACAATCAGCCGGTTCCTCTGCCCATGGAATATTCAGGGAGACGTTTTTCTAAAGTCTGGCACTAATAATCATTTTTTGCGCTGGCCCAATCTCAAGCCCAGGGTCATTTTGGTTCCTTGCCAGCAATATGGTCACCAAATGATGATCCTGGGCTCGAGATTGGTACTAGACTACTTGCCAGTTCTTGCAGTACAAGTCTCATGCTTTTCCTGCAGGCAAAGAAGGGCTCACACAAAATGCTAGTAAAAATTCTATCTGACTTAATTATCTTTTCAGTTTGGTTGCAAATGACTAACCTGACGTTTTGAGAGAAGAACCTCAATTATTTCTTCATTGGCTGTGTTGAGTCTCTGGGGAGAGAATGACAGTGAAAGTTCACTATCGGGCTGAATAAGTCTTGATCATTAATTCATAGAGAATGATCTAAGATATATAGGTACTATAAACAAATGAGACACCTGTTTTCAGTTGGTTACCTTTAGCATATCTAAGGCCAGTTGGTATGAAGGAGGGTAAGTACTCTCCAGGGACAGCATCAGACATGCCTGCAACACATAATAACATAATAATTATTTGAACATGCACTTATTATATATGAAAAAGTATGAAAACTGCTTATAATAATAAAATTTACAATGCTTTACTGAGAAACTCATAAAATATGTATGGAATAATACAACATTGTGTTTCAAGGAAAAAAACCAAACCAGACATGAGAAAACTCAGCTGCAAATAGCAAAGGCAGTAAGTTTTGTGGTTTTGTGATTTTGTATCGTGTCTTGAACTCTTTGTGATAAGTCAAAACACAATTGACCTCTCAGAATTGCATCAAAGTTTTCACAGGTTTTTTTTAAGTTCCGCAGTAACTAATTTAAAAAAGATATTTGGGCGAATGAAGGGAGAATACCTGAGTTTAAACCACATTTTCAATTTAACCAGAAAGAAACAGCCAAGGTCTTTATCAATTGAAAGTTAAATTACGTAATAATTACTTAAATTTTTGTTAATTTTTATTCTAAAAAAATGTTGATTTACTCTTACCAGCGGTTTAGAGTCACTAATGACATGGTATTGCAGGAACTAAAAAATACAAAATATCATAGAATCATTTATTTGTTTGCAATTGAATGCATGCATGGAATGTAAGACACCACATATCAGGTTATTCTCTGAGGAGTGTGTGCTCAATATTCCAATTGAGAGCTTATAAAAGCCACCATTTTGGATTGGTAAGATTAAGGAGAGCCTAGAGTAAGCAAAACAGTGAACAAGGTGTTTGTCAAAATAAAAAACAAGTGAGTGATTTTTCATTTGTTCAGAAATAGAACACAAAGAAACATATATTGTTAGAAAACCACCACACCTGGTGCAATTGGTAGAAACACTTGTTGTGTACCAGAAGATTTATGATCAGCTCATAGAGATAGTGCTGTTGAAGTGAGAAAGAAAAGGGTCACATCAGTCAGATCATAGCTACGTCTTGGTCACTCATGGAGTTAAAAGGTTACCCTACAGGGTAACCTTTTAACTCCATGAGTGACCAAGACATAATTTCTCCTTACAATATCAAGCAGACAAGTAATGAGAACAAAGAAAAATATAAATTAGCTTATTCCCATGTAATCCAAGACCAAATCCTCCAAACTAACATCATATGAATTGTATAAGGTACATGATATTAGGTTGATTAGCTGGAACTTGGAATTAAAAACAAAATTTCAACAAGACTGGGTGTCCAATGCACCAAGCCATCGATGACCAACTGAGGTCTTCTACAAACCTAATTTTTTAGGATTCACTGCTTTTTCATTTCTCAGATTTTAACTAACTTAAATTCTGTCATTTCCCTTACCTCTACAGCAATCTCAAACTGATTCAAAGAGCGTATATACTCCACCAGCACAGCAACCATGAATTTATACTTCACTTTCTAAAAACCACCATTGCAAGAGTAATGGAAAGAATTAGTGATTCAGTCTGTAACTTGGATTAATTAGTAGTAAACAACACAATGTCACATTAACTTTTAAGACACCACCCACTTAACTCAATATCCAATGAAAGTACCATTCATGATTTTTTCCAAGATAGTAATACAGATTTAGATATACAGCAAGTTTCTTTCCACTTGACATGTATGTTTGAACTCCTTTCCTCTCCACAACAGTGACAGGTAAAAATCAAAATCATAATTACAACACCAGGAAAGTGTAACAAATGACCAGCAGTTTATATGTATTTGAAATTGTGCACAAATTGGAGAACAGTCCATATTCAGTAATACTTGCTTTTTTTTTAATTGCCTTTCCAAGCAGGCCCTAATAGTGATAGAAGTCTCTCCTTTTTGGCAAAGTCCATTGTACGAGTTTAAAAAAAAAAATCAGCCAAAAAAAAAAGGAGAGGCTGGCACTAACCACTTCAACTAAAAGGAGGGACTGATCATAGTCTGCAAACTGGCCTTCACAGTTACAAACTAAGTTGAAAAGGTATTACTGGACAGGTTCAATTAATAAGGGTTGGATGAAGATGCAGTATAATTATAGCAGCAGTTTTGTACCTTACTCTCAACAAATGTAGAAAGCACATTGGAATACATGTCTTCTTGACTGACAACTGTCTGGCATCTAAAAAAGGCATGACTGCATTTAACACTTGAAGACACATGTGACAAAAAACATAACTAGCATATAGCTATAGTGAAGACAAGGAACAGAATCTGAGTTCACTAACCTAGAGACCTGTTTTTGGGGAGATGGGCTCTTGGAACCATCACTTGACTAGGATAACAAAAAGTTCATTCCTCAATCAATTACACATAAATACTTAGAAAGAAATTTGAAGAGTCACAGTATAAACCTCTGATTGATATCAAAGGGGAAATCGATATGTATTAGCTTCACAAATGACTTCTTTATAATTTTTCTCTTCCTGTCTATTTTCTGTTGCTCTGCCATTTCTCTCTTCAAGTTCCTAAGATATACATTTTCTCCAATCTTCCTTCTTCTCCTGTCTCCATTTACTATGTCTTTACTCTGTTATTCTATCCAGTCGATCAATAATTAACACTTCATTTTCCTATCCATGTCATCCGGCCTCCCACCTTGCTTCCACTTAGTAATCTGCTCTGCTTCCATTCATTTCTACCCTCATTGTTTCATCCAGACCTTCATGCCACTACAAGTTGTCAGTTTTGGTTTTTCACTTCTTTCCTTACCTAACCCTCTCATCTTTACTGTTCTTCACTCTTTAGAAAAATCTTTCCTGACCATTTTCTCTCACTGATATTTCCCTCTCCTAGCCTTTCTTTTTCTGTCACTCTCTTAATCATTATACTCACAGCAGGTGATAACTGAGTCACCTTGAGAACAAATAAGGACTAACCTGTTGTGCATTTTGTTCAGCTTCCAGAGAGTAATTTCTGTACACCAAGTTCACTTTGTCAAACATGCGAGCTATGACTGGAAGGCCACTCTGCCTTCCTGGTGTTAAAGCTATTGCATGATGAAAGAAAGCAAAGAACTATGCTGTCACATCTTGTGAAAAATAGATGGCAACAATAGACGGAAAGGGTAATTCCAACCATTACAATTAAGACTATCAAATACATTGGCAAAATGGTGTACATACCTTGTTTGAAAACTGTTAGAATCACCATTTTGCTTTCTTTTCTCAGAAGTAGGAAGTCAATCAACAAGCCCTAGAACATGAAATAAAAAAGCTCAAATGTGTACAACATGCAACATTGACATTGTCAATTTAGATACAATAATGAGGAAATATGATGCTAAGAGTGGACAATCAAAAAGTGACAAAATGATCCTCATCCATAAACTTAGTATATAACACATCAGATGAAATTATACTGCTTTCACACTCCCTGATTGGCTGGTTCAGAAGTAATTAGCAAGTTCTATTCAATTCTGAGCAGGCGAAGGGACAAAATCTTACAGCAAGAGTTTCATTTTCAAAACAATTTACTTTAAGATAATATATTGACGGAGATAAATAATATAGTATATTCTGTGGTTTTATGTGTGGTATATACAAATAAGAACAGATATTCACTCAGTGTCAGTGAAAGTGCAGGATATTAACCTCACAGCTCTTTAGTGCAGT